GCCAAGATCCCAAGAGGAGAATGGAGGAGAAGGGATTGCGTCGTGGCCATCCCCTCTGGGGGGTGATTTCTCGCTTTCTCTCTGTTTCTCTCTGTCTGTCTGGCGATCGCACGCGCCCTATAGCAAAAACCTCTCAAAAAAAAAGATAGATGAAAGTATAACTTTAATTTTTAAAAAATTACCATACAAATGACCTATTCATACCTTTTTAAGAGTTACTAGTGACCCAGAATTTATTTTCAATAAGATCTTAGTAAATGTTTTAAAACTTCTATTAATATTTTTCACTATGTTTTTTTCAAAAGCTAATGACATGAAAAGTTATTCAGTTTAAATTTGAACAACACTTTAAATTCTAAGCTCTAGTTTGATGCTTCAGAAACATTGGAGACATGATGGAATCTATGGCAAAAATTGATGTGTACAAAATTTTATTTGGGGGGAAATCTGCATAAAAAATAAAGGTTTACCGTGTAGTAACTAGCTTGTCTGGAAGAAAACAGCTGTGTGAGGTCACAGGTCAGGACGGGTTGTGGACTTTGTGACCCTATGTATAAAAAATGACTGCTGTTTCTGTTAGACGTACTCGGTATGGTAGGAGTTGAGCACTGCATTTTTTTTTGTAGTTTAAGTCATCACATGACCTAATTTCCATGGCATGAACCATCTGGTACATTTCAGATGCTTAGGTATTTAAAAGAAAGTTGCCTCTTTTGAATGTTACGGAAGAGCAGGATTCCATTCAGAACATCCCTCGAGATTAGAACCCCTCCACCTGCATCACGTGGTTCCTCCTTTTGTCCCACGCCGGCTCCGGGCACTTTTCCGGCCGCTGCCGGCTACAGCGCTGTGGTCTGGCTCTGCCCTGAGATGCAGGCTGCTTGCTCCACAGAGCACATCCTGCCTCCCGGCGCTGCTGCAGCTGCCGCCTGCACAGCTCCGTGATCTCATTGGCCCGCCCTGCAGGAAGATGAACGCTGCTACTTCTGTTTCCTTGTGATGCTGCTTTGACACCCGGGGCGGGGGAAATGTTTCCCCAGGAGCTGGCTCAGAAAATCAAGGGTTATCAGGAGCAGATCGCGTCTTTGAATTCCAAGTGCAAGATGCTGACGATGAAAGCCAAACACGCCACCATGCTGCTGACGGTGACCGAGGTCGAGGGGCTGGCGGAAGGGACGGAGGACCTGGACCGGGAGCTCCTCCCCGCGCAGTCGGCCCACCCCTCGGTGGTCATGGTAAGGATCCTGTGGTTCCGGCGCTTTGCTCTTCTGACCCGAGCCTGTCGGTGCCCCCAGTTCCCTCTCCATTGCTTATGTTAGGGATCGGCTTTCCTGCCGATTCGCATTGACAGACAGTTTCTTTAACTCTCTTTGACTCTGTCTGAGCTGCGGCCAGTCTTTGACGCTATTAAACATCGACAGTTAAAATGAAACTATATTCGCTTGCGCCTGCTGAATTAAATGCTTAACATGCCGAAGGTCTGCCCTGCATTCATTTATAATTTAGCAATATTGAGAGGCTCTGAACCTTAAAAAATGTCTTTGCTCAGCGTTGTAATTACCTGGAGAAAGTAGAATCGTATATTATATTTAGCCTCTCGAAGCTAAAATACTGGCAGGGTGGATCTGTGCATGTATTCTTTTGTATAAATGCTTAATACAATTTAGAAGAAAACTATTATTAGAAAAAAATAAACTAGAAAATCCAAAGTTTAGCCTTTGATTAAAATAATGAAACTTTGTTAATTCCTATTCTGCATCATGATTTCCTCTTCTACTTTGCATCTAAAATGTACTGAGCATTTTGGTCGCTACATTGTTTTCTGAGGCTCCATGTTTTTCCTTAGGTGTGCTTTGCCTCAGGTAGTGTATAACCATACCTGCGCCCTTTGGGCAATGTATTACTTTGAGCGCCTTTATCTCTTCGAGACATTTGGAACTTGAGGTGTTCACAGAGGACCAAGTTTTATTTCTTAGGCCGGTCCCTCGTTTGTATGATGAATGATTTTTTTCTCATTATTTATAAAGATATGACCCTGAAAAAAGAAAAATGAAGACATATGTAATCAACAGCAAAACAAAAATGTGATTGGCATCTCTCTCCCTGATTGCTTTACGAATGGTCCCTACACTCAGTCTCTAGAGAATGAAATGTTTAAATACAAGCACGTAATTCATACCTAAATTTGGATATCAGTATTCTAACTTTTGTTAGGTATCAGTAGTGATCTCTTTTGACCTGTGGTTGGCCAGTTCTTTTGTTAACATAGCTAACTGACATGCATGTCCTTCTGATCCTCCTGGCTACGTTTTCCATGGCAGATGACTGCAGGGCGCTGTCACACTTTGCTGTCACCTGTTACTGAGGAGTCTGGAGAGGAGGGAACCAACAGCGAGATTTCCTCTCCACCTGCCTGTCGCTCCCCTTCACCTGTGGCTAACACAGATGCTTCTGTGAACCAGGTACCTCCCACTTGGCATTCCTCTAGCTGTAATCTGGGCGGATGCAGGACTCCATTCTCTTTCCTCATCAGACCGTGTGAGAGTGAGTCTTTGACTTTGTTACATGTGGTTCCAGAGACACACCTTGAGGCATTATTGTTGCACAAACTCTGTTCATAACATGCGGTTGCCGGCTCAGTGTGGCCTCTCTGCTCTGTGCTACTGACAAAGAGATGAGCAAAAATTAGGTCATGGAAGTGTAGCCTGAGAAGGCCCTGCCTTACGGCTTTATGGCTTTAGTAGCAGCCATCTGTAATGGGGTACTGCATTCTAACAGAAAATGAAAGATCCGTGTTACCATTCTAAAAGAATGCGGTTCTATGGCTATTTTAACACCCATTAAGCTTGGTGTTGATATTTGTCAGCTGAGATTTTTTTAAGATAGTAGGTTTCTATTTATTATATAATTTATTTATTTATTTAATTTTATTTGTCATTATTATGATGATGATTATTTTAATTTTCTATAGGGCACACAAACTAACCAGAGAAAGTGAGAAAGAGAGAGGGAAAGTGAGAAAGCAAGCTGCCAGGTCTGGGTCTCGAGCTGTGATCAGCCATTGGGGAGTCCAGCTCCACCAATCACCATGTCACCTGCTGGCTCCTGTTATATCATTTTTTTTAAATTATCAATTGTGAACCAATTGAGAGAATGTCTACCAGTATATACATACTGGAATTCCTAGCCTAGTAGATGCAAGTTTTTTTCTTATTATTCAAGACTCTTACATTTTATTTCCTGGAAAATAGAGATAATACTTTGTGGTATGAGATGTGTTTTAGCATTCAAGATTTTACTAAATTAAGGATCAAAAAGTTTTCATGAAAACATTGGATAGAAATCAAAAGATGCTTATATAATAACCAAAATATTTTAATGCATGTTTTTACAACTAAAATGTTTTCATCTATATTATTATGAAATTATGTAAATATTGAAGGAAGTTGAGGTATATTATCAAGGAAGAAGTATTAAACAGAACAAATAGGGGGCCAGCAGGTGTATAGTGATTAAGATGCTGGACTCCCATATGTTCCTCTTCTACTTTGCATCTAAAATGTACTGAGCATTTTGGTCGCTACATTGTTTTCTGAGGCTCCATGTTTTTCCTTAGGTGTGCTTTGCCTCAGGTAGTGTATAACCATACCTGCGCCCTTTGGGCAATGTATTACTTTGAGCGCCTTTATCTCTTCGAGACATTTGGAACTTGAGGTGTTCACAGAGGACCAAGTTTTATTTCTTAGGCCGGTCCCTCGTTTGTATGATGAATGATTTTTTTCTCATTATTTATAAAGATATGACCCTGAAAAAAGAAAAATGAAGACATATGTAATCAACAGCAAAACAAAAATGTGATTGGCATCTCTCTCCCTGATTGCTTTACGAATGGTCCCTACACTCAGTCTCTAGAGAATGAAATGTTTAAATACAAGCACGTAATTCATACCTAAATTTGGATATCAGTATTCTAACTTTTGTTAGGTATCAGTAGTGATCTCTTTTGACCTGTGGTTGGCCAGTTCTTTTGTTAACATAGCTAACTGACATGCATGTCCTTCTGATCCTCCTGGCTACGTTTTCCATGGCAGATGACTGCAGGGCGCTGTCACACTTTGCTGTCACCTGTTACTGAGGAGTCTGGAGAGGAGGGAACCAACAGCGAGATTTCCTCTCCACCTGCCTGTCGCTCCCCTTCACCTGTGGCTAACACAGATGCTTCTGTGAACCAGGTACCTCCCACTTGGCATTCCTCTAGCTGTAATCTGGGCGGATGCAGGACTCCATTCTCTTTCCTCATCAGACCGTGTGAGAGTGAGTCTTTGACTTTGTTACATGTGGTTCCAGAGACACACCTTGAGGCATTATTGTTGCACAAACTCTGTTCATAACATGCGGTTGCCGGCTCAGTGTGGCCTCTCTGCTCTGTGCTACTGACAAAGAGATGAGCAAAAATTAGGTCATGGAAGTGTAGCCTGAGAAGGCCCTGCCTTACGGCTTTATGGCTTTAGTAGCAGCCCTTTTGTATGGGGTACTGCATTCTAACAGAAAATGAAAGATCCGTGTTACCATTCTAAAAGAATGCGGTTCTATGGCTATTTTAACACCCATTAAGCTTGGTGTTGATATTTGTCAGCTGAGATTTTTTTAAGATAGTAGGTTTCTATTTATTATATAATTTATTTATTTATTTAATTTTATTTGTCATTATTATGATGATGATTATTTTAATTTTCTATAGGGCACACAAACTAACCAGAGAAAGTGAGAAAGAGAGAGGGAAAGTGAGAAAGCAAGCTGCCAGGTCTGGGTCTCGAGCTGTGATCAGCCATTGGGGAGTCCAGCTCCACCAATCACCATGTCACCTGCTGGCTCCTGTTATATCATTTTTTTTAAATTATCAATTGTGAACCAATTGAGAGAATGTCTACCAGTATATACATACTGGAATTCCTAGCCTAGTAGATGCAAGTTTTTTTCTTATTATTCAAGACTCTTACATTTTATTTCCTGGAAAATAGAGATAATACTTTGTGGTATAAAATGTGTTTTAGCATTCAAGATTTTACTAAATTAAGGATCAAAAAGTTTTCATGAAAACATTGGATAGAAATCAAAAGATGCTTATATAATAACCAAAATATTTTAATGCATGTTTTTACAACTAAAATGTTTTCATCTATATTATTATGAAATTATGTAAATATTTAAGGAAGTTGAGGTATATTATCAAGGAAGAAGTATTAAACAGAACAAATAGGGGGCCAGCAGGTGTATAGTGATTAAGATGCTGGACTCCCATATGGTCGACCATGGTTTGAGTCCCAGACCTAGAGGCTTGACAGTCACACCAGGCACGTGTGTGTATGTGTGTGTGTGTTTGTGTGTGTGTGTGTGTGTGTGTGTGTGTGTGTGTACAGATTCCCAAGAGGAGAAGGAAGGAGAAGGGATTGCAGCATGGCCATCTCCTCTGAGGGGTGATTCTTACTTTCCCTCTCTCAGTGTCTCTGTCTCTCTCCAGCAAGTGCACATGCCCTATGGCAAAAAACTAAACAATAAAATTAAGTAATTAAAAAAAGAGCATATGTTATGAAGCTATATTATAAAACAATCATGTGTTTTAAAAACAGAAGCATTAAAAATTTAATTTGTGTGATAAAGAGAATGACCCTCGGTCCAAATTTTTTTCTTTCTTTTTTTTTTTTTTTTTAGAGGTTTTTTGCTATAGGGCGCGTACGCTTGCCAGACAGACAGAGAGAGACATAGAGACAGAAAGCGAGAAATCACCCCCCAGGGGGGATGGCCACGCCACAATCCGTTCTCCTCCATTCTCCTCTCGGGATCTTGGGCACGCACGCACACGCGCCCGGCGTGAGATTTAAGCCACCGGGTCTGGGACGCGAACCGCGGTTGACTACGTGGGAATCCAGCGACATAGCCATTACACTAACTGCTGGTTCCCTCTTTTTTTTTTTTTTTTTAAGAGAGATTTTTGCTATAGGACATGTGTGCTCCCTGGAGAGACAGAGAGAGAGAGAAAGAAAGTGATAAATTACCCTCCAGGGGGCATGGCCATGCCACAGTCCCTTCTCCTACATTTTCCTCTAGAGATTTTGGTCATCTATGCACACCCTCAGAATCTCAAGCCTCAGAGTCTGGGACTTACCATGACTGGCTTTATGAGAGCCCAGTGCTTTAAACATTACGCCACCTGCTGACGCCCACCTCCAATTTTTTAAAAAAAGACATTATAACATAGAGCCCTTTAGATAATTCATTCTCTTCATAAAAATCAGTATTGTTCTTGGGAACATACTATCCATTTATTAAATATGTCTGTGATCCTGCTTATCACAAAACTTGAAAAAAACAACTCCATTAATTTCTAATCTGTACTATTATTTCCCTATAAACTTTGCATCTGAAATGCATTAAGTGTTTGGGAAACTGCAGTGTTTCCCAGAGCTCTGTTTTTCCTTGGGCCTGGAGACTGCAACCAAGACTGGGCAGTAGTAGCTCTGCCCATAAGGACCTGCCATAATGCAGAGAGAAAGGTGGACGTGGGCAGATAATAACAAACGTGGTAAGAGGAAACTGAAAACAACAACGAAGGAGAAGTTCAGGCAACTGTTCTCCAAATTTGTCTTAAAAATATATATTACTCATTCTTTGACACCAAGTTCTTCCCTGTGGTCACAGACGTTATTAGAGTGAGAGAAATTGGTCTACAGTCAGCTGAAATTGTATGGACAACATTTTTCCTTTATAATTTGATGATCTTACTGTTCTCAAATTTAACAGTAAATACCCACCCAGGGACTAGCACTATGGGAAGAATATACCTTTTCTAAAATTAGAATGTTTCTATGCTTTTTTTTTCTTCTAAACTATTTTACTATAGGGTGTGTGTGCCTGCCAGAAAGAGAGACAGAAAGTGAGAAATCACCCCCCAGGGGGCTAGCCATGCTGTAATCCCTTCTTCTCCATTCTACTCTCAGCATTTTGGGCAGGTGCTCACACAAACTCGGCCTGAGTTTCAAGCTGCCAGGTTCAGGACTAAAACCGCGGTCGACTACATGGGAGTCCAGTGCTTTAACCACTATGCGACCTGCTGGCCCCTCTGTGCTACTTCTTATGAAGTGTCTTTCAATATACCTGAGAGAGTGTCCCATAAATTATGCAAACACTGTATTATTATTTGCCACTTACCGTAAAATTTAATCAAATTCTGAAACTGAAGGAGATTATGCTCTGGTTTAATCCCATTTGGACACCCCACCCCTCGTCACAAATAAATACATCAAATAAACCACGTTCTTAACATTCTTGTACGTGATGCTGCAGGTTAAGGGGAAATGTCTTCATTTAGCTGAAGTCAGACAGCTTTTGTCAGTGGAAGCTGTTTAAAACCCGACATGATGCTTGGCGTGGCTTGAATGGATCATCACAGTCATTAGGCCAC